TGCAATGAAAGGGTGTCTCTAAACAAAAAAAAGCAGAGTAATCGAGGAACTTCTTTTAAGGAAAAGTCTCCTAGGAAAATCAGCCTTTTCCCTCTCTATCTGTGTGTCTTTGTATACCTCTCCTTCCCCTTCCCCCCCCCACTGCCTTTTTTTTTTTCCTTTGTTCTTTGCTCTTCCCTGAAGAAAATAGAGATAATAAAATATTCTATTTTCATATGGCTCTACAGATGATCCTTGTGTATTTAACCAGACCGCAGCATAGAAAACAAACCCTTGCCTATTGCCTAAAAGCATTTATATGTTTTATGATTAATGTGTTTGTAATACACCGGACTGATAATAGATAGGGAGATCAAAGTCTTCTGTGAATTGACAGCAGCACTGTAAACAAGGTGAAAGGGTTGCAGGTGTTTCCCACATGGATGKTACACAAAAACATATGGCCCTTTGCCTCAAGGTACTGTGTGTGCTCTCCACCTTCTCCTGTGCAACAGGGCAACACTGCTGTGAGCTTTGCTCAGAGCTCATCCATGGCTGAGGACCTGGAAGATGCTGTCAGCAGCAGGTGACCATGCAGTGGGGCCAGGGTGATCTTGGGAGCATGACAAAGATAATGCTAAATTGGTCTTTCTGWTTAAAAGTAGCTGATTGATCCTCTGTGTCATCTGAGAGCAGAAATCTGCGCTCTGRCAAACATTGGGAAGGAAGATGACATTGCTGAAGTGTTGCAGGAGGGACTGGGCAGTGCAGTGTGCCCCTTGTTTCATTGCTCCTACTTCAGCTCAGAGCTGGACTTGGCAGGCATSTCTTATCTCCATGGCTTATCTTCTGTGGCCATGGCCTTGGCAGGCTCTGGGTATGGGCTGAGACACCCCGGCCACATCTCTGCAGAAAACAGGGATGCATGAGCAAAACTGCAGACATCACTGCTGGATTGCTGCTTATTCTAGTGGATTAAAAAAAAAAAAATTACTAAAGGACTAAATTATTGTAAAGAGATCTGCAACATCCTGGGTGAGTCCTGAGCACAAGGCAGTGGTCTCTGCCCTTCTCATTAATTATCTGAAGAGTGGTGCTTGTCTGCTCTTAGGAATGAAACTGCTGCAGCTGGGTGCGGTGGGTGTTTGTAACCCCTTCAGTTATTAAAACACTTCAGATGAAGTTTAGCTTATTTTGTTCAATACCCTGTAACACAACCACATCCTTGACCCGCGGGCCCTCTGGCAATCTTTYCTTTTTCCACAACTTCTGGGAACAGATCCATGCCCTCTGCTGAACACTTGTGAAAACTGTTTTGCCTGGCTATCCTGGGGATCACGGAGCACAGGGCTGCCAGCTTCTGCACCGGAATTACTGGAGCAATGTCTCCTCATCCACAATTTCATCTGCTGTCTTTCCTGTCTCACTGTCCARTGGAGCTAAAGCTACTGGTCTAAAATGTGGATTTTTYYCTCTTTTCTGGAGGGTTGCAGTTTRAACTGAAATATAATAGAAATTGCCCCAACAGCATAACTTAATTAACTGATGCCTCATCTACACAGGTGAATTGCCTCCATGCATGGGTGATGACATTTATTTTTGCTGRTATGGCTGTGTTACAACTGATTTCCATGTGGACAGGAATGCATCACCCTGAGGGTGCCATGCTGCATGAATTCTTGCTTCTCTTCAGGAGTGGGTTTGGTAGTCCCAAGTATTTGCTTTACAGCCTGAATGCCCTCCATGAAAATATTATAAAGTGTTGGGTCAAGCAGTGTAATGGTACTGTACCTAAAGGTACGACTCCTGTGTGTGAATGAGCTCTGTGAAAAGATTAACCTAGGAAAAGTTAATAAAAATTGCTGTCCTAAATTATTCATGAATCCATTTGCAATGCACTTGCCCAGAGGCTTTTGTTTTTCTCAAACTCTTATTTATTAAAATCTGACAAGAATATCACTTTTTGTTCAATAATATATCTAAGTCTGTGTGAGAATAGTGATATCCTCATCTAGTAATACAGAATCAAAATGAAGTTACATGGCAGGGGTGAATATGTTATTTACTTGGGAAGAATAGATTATTGTTTAGGAGGATTTTATCTTTTACATGCTGTTTCAAAACAAGTGAAAAAACCCCAAAACACCTAGCTGGGAGATAGCCTCTTGTTTTGTGACTAAGGCCTTGATCCTGCAAAGGATTTAAAATATATTAAAAACTCAGTTAAGCATCTTTCTGCTGGCTTTTCAGGTTGCAAACCTGTATCTGGTAAATGAAATAGCTCAGATGATCTCATTTTGTGCTTAGTTCTACTTGTCCTTTGTCCTTGACTTCAGGGGAAGACCATGGAAGTCATGCTTCTAGCCTATGGATTTTGACTTTTAAAGTAYATCCATACACAACCTCATCTTTTTGTGTCCTAGAAAAGGTTAGAAAGATTATCTGTAGAGAGTAGGACAGTGGAAAAAATGCAGGAAGAGAGCTTGTGCTGTTTGGGATCCAATAAC